GGTTTAGGTGATTAGGGTTTAGGGTTTAGGGGTTGGGTTTAGGAAGTTTTGGAGTGGGGGGGGGCTTTAGCGTTTGGGGTTTGGGGCTCAGGGTCTGTAAGGGCTTAAGGTTGTGAAAGGTTAATGGCTTCATAAGGGTTTAAGGTGTATAAGGATTTAGGGGTGAATCAGGGTTAAGTAAGGGGTTTTGTGCTTGGGGTTTAGGCTTACGGTTGAGGCTATGCTAGTTTCAGACTTTGGGTTTAGGGTTTAAGCTTCCAGCTTGGGATTGAAGTTGCGGGTTTCGGGTTGAGGGCCGAAGTTTCAGGTTTCGGGAACATTCTCGACCCGGTTTTGGGGAGCAAGCCTTTATGCTCTCGGGCCGCAAGGCTCGAGATCAGGGCCTCCGTTACGAGGTGGGGCCCGGGGGGTTAGGGCTTTACCTATAGTTTCCATTGTAGTTCCTTTTTTCGGTTTAGCCAATTCATTATAGATTAAGGATTTTATAAGGTATCTCCAAAAAAAACTACAATGGAGACTATAGGTAGGGTTTAAAAAGGGTATAGGACGACTGGGCAAACCTGGGCATCACAGCATGCTCCGCCAAGCAGCTCGCGCAGGGTGGTAGCAATGGGACCTCAAAGCTACTATCCGTTCTTTCTTTGCCGTGCTCGAACCGAAAAAGGGTTTGTGGAAAGCGCGTACTTGATCGGGAACACTTCATGCCCACAACTAGTTTCATTCAAAGCGTTCCTGGCTGAAAGCTCCTTCCCCTGCTGCATGCTCCCTGCCTGTCATGCTGAGTGTTTTTTCAGGGGCTGCACGCAGGATCATCATAGGCTGTCGCCCGGATCGGCAATTGGTAGGGGTTTAGAAGCTCTCCCATCGAAGCGCTCCGGGCAGACCAAGGAGATACCCAACGCAGGCTCGGTCAGCGCACTGTTGTGCGGACACGGCTCTGCCTTAATACGCTGCAAGACGGGATGCTGCCAGCATGACTTGTATGCAGCACCCGTGATGTCTCTCAGCAAAGACTTAAGTACTGCTGCCCCTCAAAACTAGGCAAGGTGCACATGGGACACCCACCTAGTTTGAGGAGCAGTGGCCTTGCAAACAGGGTTCCTGATTCAGGCAATCAGGAGAACTTGGTGAAAGGGACAGACAAGTCCTTCCTCAAAGACCTCACGGAGTGATCTTGCATTCATTGCATCGTCTGCGGAGTATGCTTGCCTGTCCGCACCACCCAACTCCTGAGGTATCTCCGACGCAGAAACGCTCGATTGTTGCTCGCTGATGCATAGGAACAGCGGAGGCAGACGAAGAGCGAAAATGTGAAAATACTAAAATAACCTGCATTCCGATCTGCACAGCATGGGCAGGACCTCTTCGACCTGGGTACCCTGACATCTGGTTCAATGACACATTTGCAGAAAGATAGTCGGTTCTGCTGTACAAGTTGGGGATGGTGTTACAAACCAGGTAACTAGGGCTACCTAAATGAAGCTCCCTGCGTCTAGGTCTAGGAGTTTCTAAGTCTACAAATCATAGAAGTCGTAGCAAACGCGTAGTCTCAAGGTTACCCTAATAACTTCCAGCAGGCCAGACAAAGCTGCTGCGTCTAGAATCTAGAATGCAACAGGCCCCAAGAGACCCGGCCAAAGCTATGCGGCTGTGGTCGGGCATGTTGAGCAGCGTGGCACTTGGGGCCACTCCGACCAGATCAGAATTAGCATAATTAGCAGCTTAATTGCACCATGGTCATGAATTCCAGTAGTGCCTCCACCAGCCGAGACTCTCAAATCACTTGGCGAAAGGACGCAGGTCTTGAACAAAGCTGTGCTCTTAAACGAGGGACCATCACGGCTCCGTTATCAAATTACCTCCTATTTCATACTCGCTTGGCCTGCCGTTGCAATGCATAGGTTGTGAGATTGCTCCGCTGCTGCAGGCTGAAAAAGCCAAGCAGAAGTATCATGGGACTTGTGCTGGCGAGAGTTGGCAAAGATATGGAAGCGCCCGGGATCTGGGCAAATGAATCTCAAGCTCTGCACATAGGACAGAACGAGAATGGATGGTCCAAGTACTCGAAAGCGTGTTCATTCAGGACAGTAATTTCTGTCCTGGAGGATTTGCCCAAATCGCTCGTAATTCTGAGCTCTCCAAGCGCACCACCGATTGCAACCGGAATGTGCGGAAAGACGTAGGAAGTGCTGCGTCTCTGAGCCAGGCTTCGAGCCACTGGCACGCAAGCCTCTCTCATCTCAAGGACTTCAAAACAGTCCGCTATTTGGGGGTCCAAGCAAGCATTGCACTGCTTCGCATGTCTGCGCACTCAGTCTCTCAGTAGTCCTGAAGTCTGTGGAAGGAACCACATACAGGCCAAACCGAGATCATGAATGCAGCGTGACTTTCACATGCTCCCGCTTCGGCCACGCATCGGCACGGAGCTGGAACGCCTCTGGCAAGTAGGATAAATTTGGAAGTGGATGAAGGTTCGCTCCACTGGGAGTTGAAACGCGGACCCGTTGTCCTTTGAACTCGCAGTCTCAGGGTGCTTTATATCAGAGGTCTGCAGGGTGCTTGTTGGTGACGCCCCATCGTCGGTCATCTGCTTGAACCTCAGACTCAAAGGCATGCTGCAGAGCTTCGTTCTTCTGTCCCAGCTTGTCACTGCGCCTCCATCGATGGCCGAGGACAATGCTAGCAAAACTAGTTAGATGTAACACCGAAGAGCATCAGCAACGGAATGATACCACCTACAACGAAAATCTGTCGTAGTCGCCATCGTCGTTTTCCCCGTCGTAGTCGTAGCAGCAGCAGCAGCAGCAGCAGTAGCAGTAGCAGTAGCAGTGGCAGTCGCAGCCGCAGTCGCAGTCGCAAGT